TGCGGGAAAGCGAACTAACTTCCCCACCTTTCTGCGTTTAAGGAGCTGGTTCCTGGGAATCAGGTGGGTTGGCAGCGGACAGCAGGTGGTATCCGTTTCAGGTGCTGAATTTGGGGACATCTGTGACTCGAGGCCGGCCGCCTCGCGGGGAGCTGGGGTCCTCCCTGCACGGTAGTACAGCGGTCTCGGAAGGCACAGCTCGCTCCTTCCCTTCTTTCTCTCCCTTCCCCCTTCCCTCTTTCCTTCCTCCCTCTCCCACCTGTCAGGTGCCTGCTGGGCAGTGGCAGCCCAAGCCTACCCTCCGAGAGCCACGTCCCACCGAGGAAAGCCAACAACAGACCAGGGAACAGCGCAGGGCAGTGAGGCAGGCAAGGCGGCAGAGGAGAATGCGGAGCTACTGTAGAGGAGAGGTCAGTGAAGGGCTCTCTAAGAGAGATGACTGAGCTGAGCTGAGACCTGAAGAGAGTGAGGGAGGGAGTGTGGGGGAAGAGGGGCCGGCAATGCAAAGGCCCTGGGGCAGGAACAGAAACAGTCTTTTTGGGGAGTGGAGTTGGGTCAGGCACAGCAAGGGGCCAGTGCGGCTAGGCTGAGTGACAAGGGTGCTTGGAGACGGACAGGAGGTGGCAGGGTAGGTCCCACAGGCAGGAGCTGTTAGCTCAGGGCAGCCCAGAGCCTCCCCGATAAAGACAGAAGGCCATCTCCATTGGTGCAAGGACACAAATACCACAAACCTGCTCCTCCTTAAACAGGAGCCTCCCCACAGGAGCACCCTCACACCAGGTGGCCCTTAGCAAACCGCCGCCCCTGTAATTGAGATTAAAACACTCCCAGAGCAACAGGTGGGTGGGTGGCTGGAGAACGGCGGGGACGCCCCTCCTGCATTATTGATCATGGATAGACTGGGAGGAGGCGCCGTGTGACAGGTGTGGCACCCCCCGCCCCCACCACCCGCGGGCTGCCAGGCCTGCGGGAAGCTCAGCGCCCAGGCCAGCCGAGGGAGGGGTGCAGGCCCACGAGTGGTCAGCAGTCGGGAGGAAGGGTCCCGAGAGGAGAGGCCTCCCCACACCAGGCGCGGGGCTCCAGAGGACTGCGCTACCCCCTGGTTGTCGGGTCCTCTGCATGCAGTGCCTGCCTGTCTGGCGGCAGGGACGAGAGGCTGAAATTTCATCTGGTGTCACCCAGGCCCCACCCAGCCCGGCCTCTGGATCCCCACTGGTGTCCGGCCACTGCCGCCACAGGTTAGCTCCTGGGCCGAAGGGAGGGGCTGCGTGAGTCGAGGGGGTGTCCTGGGGCCCGGCAGGTGGGGGATCGGGGTGGGGTCACACACCTCAGAGAGCACGGGGTTCAGGGGTGTTGGGTGGCCGCTGAGCCCAGAGAAGTGGCCAGAGCTGCCCCTGGCTCTCGAGTGAGCGGGAGGAGAGGGAAGTGCCCCTCAGAGAGCCCGAGGCCACTTCTGAGAGGCCCTGGGTGCAGCCGCGGGCCATTAAGGGTTCCCCTTTCTCATCTCATCGGGGTTGGCTGAGAGGAAACGAGTCTGCCTTCCAAGCTGGGTACCTGGGGAGGAGCGGGTAGGACTAGGGGTCCCAGGGGAGCCTGCAGGGAGACAGAGCCATCACTGAACGGAAGCTCGGGCCTGGGGCTGTGTGGCTGGGGGTCGGGGGCCAAGCTCTGCTCAGCTTGCCTCCGGGGTGGTGCCAATGGCCTCTGCTCAGGAGCCCTGCCCTGGGCCCTGGCAGTGGCGGCCGCTGACAGGTGTCAGGAGGGCCAGACTTCCCTCCTGGCTGAGAAGGAGCCCCTCAGGGCTGCAGGCGGTCTGCAGGCAGGGCATGGCACCCACTCCGGATTTCCGGGCCCTGCGCTGGGATCCGACCCGACCTTGGGGAGCACTTGGGTGTCTGAAGGGTGGAGCGGGTGAGGGCAAGTGAGGCAGAGCTGCTTCTGTGACAGTGACAGGTAAACTGGCGTCAGAACCCCGTGGCCCCCAGTCCTCCCAGGAGCACTGGGTAAAGGGCTGGTGAAGATGCCTGTACAGTGAAGTCGCCCCACGCCCGCTCTGGCGGGGCAGAGGATGAGCTCAAACGGCCTCATCCCCAGGCAGGGGGCCTCACCGCTCCGTGCGTCTGCAGACGGGGCCTGGGAGCGCCCACCCAGCCCACCTCGCACGAGGTAAAAGCCACCAAAATGTAAGGTGACCTCAAGGCCGTCGACAACCCTTCACTTTCATAAGCGACTTTTATTTCCAAGTTCGCTGCGGTGCCTCTGCTCACACCTGGGAAAACGGGACTCAGAGCTCTCCCACCCCCTGGCGGATCCTTACCCCAGAGTCTGGGCGTGACCAGGAACAGGGACCATGTGCTCCTGCTGAGACCACCACATGGGTGTCCACATCCCTCACAATGCCATTTCATGGCCTTTTGGGGAGCACGAGGAGTCCCCTGTCCCTCCCTGCTCCCAGCGAGGTCTGAGCACACACGGGGCAGGCAGACCCACGGGGGCAGCAGGAAGAGCTCCCAGATGCTGGATGCACTTCCTGGGGCCCCTAATCTGGGTCTGTAGTGACACGCCCTGGTTGCGGGATCCAGGTTGACTCTTACGTGGTTCCTGGTCCAGCGGGGCATCAATCAGAGCCTAACGCTTCCATCGCAGTGAGACCCCATTCACCCCTAAAGCTGTGGAGAAGCCATGAACTCCCCACAAAGACCCCGCCAGTCCTGTCCTGTCCAGGTTAGACAGGCACAGCAGTGCAGAGGGCAAACGCCCAGAACCACCATCCCCTGACACATCAGAAAGGCAGACCCCTTCCCACCGCAACTGACGAGAAGCCCCTTACTCCCGGGGTCAGTCCTCACACCAGGGCCTAAAAGAACACACATCTGCAGACACAAAATTGCTCGTGGTCCCGCAACCCACACCCCCACAGCCCGAAGCAGGTGCACCTCTCTCAGGCGGGGGCCGCCATCACAGCCGGTGACCACCTGCCCACTAGCCAGAGCCTGCCGGCCCGCGGGCTCCACGTGCTGGGGCAAACACACAGGGGACTGATCAGGGCTAATGTGATGGTGAATGTCAGGCGGCCCTGCCGCCTCCAGGCCCCAGGCCCTTTCCACAGCACCGTGGGACAGCCCCGCTCCATTATGGCTCTCGCCTAATTAGGGTAATTAAAATGAAAGTAATCAAAGCAATGGGAAATCTCTTAATAAACTGTCACCAGTGCATGCACGGCTTGGGTCTTGTGCCTTTGTGAAAGTCAAGGAGCAAAAGGACAGGGCCAGGAGCTGGACAGGGAAACCAGGCCCTGCTGCCCACACCTGCCTGCCGCCTGCAGACAGTGACCCAGTCTCTGCCTCTGCCCACAGCGCCCTCCCTAACAGGCTGGTGGGCCTCATCCCAGGAGGCTGGACCCTGGGACGGACATCAGAGACATGGCACCCTCTACCCCCAGAGCCCCCATCTGCCCTGCCTCATAGCACCCATGTCTCCCCTCCCCCAGCGGGCACTCCACCTGGCTCCCTGAGCCCCTCAGAGGACCAGGAGTCTGCCTGGCATCTGGGCACCTTGGCACCTTGAACTGGGAGGGGTCCTCGCCCAAAGCAAGACCATCTCTCCAGGGACATGCTCCTCACCCACCCTCCCCAGGGCAGTGCCTGCGCGGGCTCAGCATCTCAGACCCCAGCGCCATCCCTTCTGGCTGCTGGAGGGGTGGTGGGGATTCCTGAAATATTGTCGGATGCTGGGCCCTTTCCTCAACTGCAGTCAAGGTGACCCTGGGCCAGCAGACTCAGTCACAGCTCCTCAGAGCCACCTTCTGCGCCTCCTGCAAGGAGGAGGCAGACCCTCTGCTCAGGCAGGGGTCGCCAGGTCAGAGACAGGAAGCCCCGTGGGGAGCTCTGGATGTGCAAAGGCCCAGGTCACCCACCCCCAGGGAGCAGCTGGTGTGGAGGGGAAGACCCACAGGAGCCCCCGCGGACAGGGTGGCCGAGGGCCGGTTTCCCCGGAAGCAGCTCGCAGGAGGGGGTCTTGGGCCTGAGGCAGCCGAGGCAGAGTCCTGGGGGTAGCCAGGGCCCAGGGCGTCGCACCTCCCCGGATCTCCTCCTCCTCTGTGAGGACCAGGTGAGGGCGCACCCTAGGAACCGCAGCCCCACCCTGGCCACGGTGGCCCCGCAGCCCCGATCCCCCAGGTTCTCGCTGGAGGCTGCCCGGAGCCTGGCCCTGCTGGGGGCCCTCCCGCCCTCCCAGCGCTCGGACCTGGGGCCGGGGGCGGGGTCCGCGGGGGCGTGGGGGTGGGGAGCAATTCAGGGCGGGGCGGGGTGAGGGGCCTTGGAGGCGAGGAGGGGGCCCCGGGGGCGGGAAGGGGGCGGGGCGAGGGACGGGAGCCTGGGGCCTGGGCGGACGCGCCTGGCCGCTGGGGGCGCGGCTGAGCCGCGGGGCCGCCCGGGCTGTTGACTCTCTCCCGGGAAACGCGCCGCCGTCCCACCCGCTGGCGCAGTGGCCGGGGAGCCCAGCGCCGCGGACCCTCCGCTGGAGCCGCGCCCGCCGCCCCTCGACCGGCCCCGAGCGAGCCTGGGTTGCGCGCCTGTCCCTTCCCCGCGCGCCCCGCACGGCCACAGCCTCCGAGCACAGGCGAGTGTGAGCGGGTCTGACGCGAGAGCGTGTGTGCAGCGTGTCTTGAGTGTGCACATGCGTGCGCGCGCATGTGTGGGCACGTGTGAGTGTGTGCGTGCGTGCGTGTCTCAGTGTGCTCGTGCGTGTGTCCGTGTGTGTCAGAGAGCTTATACTGGGTGGACGGCTTGTTTGCAGGCATTTTGGGACCCAGGAGAGAAAGGTCAGTTCTCCAGGTCAGAAGGTTTGGGGAGGGGGAGAGGGGAGTAGCAGAAATGGTCCGAACCTACCCCTGGCATGGGCCAGCGTCGCTCCCCCCCCCCCCCCCCCAAGAGCCAGGCAGGTGCCGCTCACTCCCCAGCCCCCAGCTCCGCTCCGGCCCGGCCCTCCGCTGCCCAGATGTGGAGGTGGGTGGACAGGCGGCCCTGAGGTTGGGCACATCCTTGGAGGCTCACGGTGCTGGAGGTGGCCTGTGTGACCTGGATTGGTGGAAGGAGAGCCAGGTGGTGTCTCTGCCTTTCTGAGAGGTCCTCTGCTGGGAGGGGCAGAGGGTGGAGTGATGGAGGGGTCTGTTACCCCTCAGGCCACCCAGCTTCTCCCCACCTGGGTGCTCAGGGGTCACATGTCCATAGAGTGTCAATAGCTGACCAGGGTCACACTCCCATTCTGCAAAGGAAGAAATTGAGACCCAGAGGCAAATAGTGGGCTGGGAGCCTGGCCTGGGAGACCCTGGTAGATGCCCCCAGCCCCGTGGAAACCTCCTGCTGAGGAAGCACCACAATCGCCCCTTCACGCTGAATTCGCCCTGCTTTCACTCCCCAGGGCTCTGCTGACACAGATCTCACTGGGGTGAGCCGGGGAGACCTCTCTGTGCATGGCTGGGGGGCGGTAGGGCCGGCGGGCTGACAGCCACCGGTGCACTAACCACACCCCCTCCTCCAGGTGCCTGTGAAGACTGGACGTGAGCCCATCGGGGGCACGGGCGTGATGTCGGCCCAGAAGCTTGTGGCCTGCCTCTGCCAGGAAGGGGACCAGCACCTTGCCCTGGGGGAGCCCCTGCTGGCCACCGCCTTCTACCTGGCTGCCTTCAGCTGCCACGCCCCCTCGGCGGTGCGGAGGGTCCGAGCTGCCCTGGCCGAGGCTCATGAGGCACCCGTGGTGGCCACCCTGGAGGCCTGGTGCCGTGGTGACAGCCAGATCCCGGCCATCCACTGGGACGGTATGGCGGTGGTCTCCCTGACGGGGAGCCTGGCCTCCGCCTTCCTGGCCGCCCTCTGCCCGGACCACCCGGCCGCAGTCCTGCACTCCCTGGCCAGCCTGCTGGTGCACGGCCGCCACGGGGAGGTGGTGCAGCGCTGTGGCGCCCTGCTGGACGCTCACTCCCAGCAAACCCTGGAGCTGCGGCTGACCCGCGCCCTGGCCTGGGTCCTGTCCGGGACGCAGGTGGACGCCGGCGTGGCCGACTACCTCCAGGCCTTTGCCTTGAGTGCCGACCGGACTGTGGCCTTCGTCCGCACCCACCAGCAGCCCTACCTCCCCGTGCTGGTCAGCACCCTCCAGGACTCCATCTCGGGGCGCCAGGAGGCCGGGGACAGCGCCAGCCGGCAGGAGACCGACTGCCAGAGACTCCTGGCAGCCCTGGCCCCCAGTGGCACCTGGAGCGACGTCCTGTCTCCCGAAGCTTTGCTCCTCCGTGGCAGGTACGCGGACTGCCGGGCAGCATGCAGCCGGGCCCTTGAGTCCGAGCCGCCGGGCAGCAGACCGCAAGGTAGGAGTGCGGTTCACGTCCCTGAGGGGCAAGACGAAAGCCGCTCTGGCCATTCTGGCACGGCGTGGTTAAGTCCTGCTTATGGTGGTGGGGGTCATACTGGGGCTGGGGACACCACAGTGGCAAGACAGGCAAGACAGATGGTCCCTGCCCTTAACCAGCACCCAAGAAAAGAAGCAAACACAATACGTGCTTTGAAAAATGGAACATGCAAGGTTACTGCTCTAGCCCGACGGTCAAGGAAGGCTTCTTGGAGGAGGTGTCATTTGAGCTGAGACTGAAGGATTCCAGGCAGCAGAAACAGAACGTCCGGGTCTCCAAGGGAGAAAGAACTTAGGATGTCCGTGCCACTGAATGGAGCCAGGGTGGCTGTTCCGGGATGGGGCGGGGGGAGCTGAAGGCAGTGGCCGTGCCTAAGCCCTGCTGGCCTCGAAAGGACCTTGGATTTTACCCTCAGAGCAGCAAGGAGCCATGGGAGGGTTTACACTGCGGAGTGAGGTGCTCTGGGTTGCTTTTTTAAAGTTTCCTCTGGCCGCTGAGTGCAGAACATGCCATAGAAGCCAGAGTGAGAACAGAACCTGCTGGGGGGCTGGAAGGGGGTCCAGGCTGGGAGGCTAGGAGGCAGTGGCCATGGTCCAGGTGAGAGATGATGGAGGCTCAGATCGAGGAGGAAGCCTTAGAGAGAGGCGATGGGTCTGAAATATCACTGAGTTAGAAATGATAAGCTTGTGGGGAGAAACGGTGGAAAGCAGGGCGTGGAGGAGAATCGAGAACGACTCTGGGACTTTGCTTTCAGCTGCTGGAGTGCAGAGGGCAGGCAGGAGCAGACCAGGAAAGGGGGCATCAGAGGTGTTAGACACACCCAGTCTGAGACACTACTGCTCCTGCCTGGCCCCTTTGCTGGGTCCTCCTTCTGGTGGGGGGAGGGCAGGGGGCTGGGTGGTCAGGAGCCTCCAGGAGCCATACTCCTGCTGCCAGGAGCCCTCTGAGCTCCCTGCCAGCTGCATGGCCTCTCCATGCCCGTGTGCAGGTGGGGATGGTGGCACACCCACCTCTGACGGTGCCTGTGGGATTCAGCGAAAATGTGCGTCACACCCTTAAGATGGTGTCACCCACCAAGTGCTCAAAAAGATGTGCCTTGAGCAGATCAAGTGGAGATGTCCTTAGGCAGCTAGATGTGAGCTTTGAGATGAGAGGCCACTTGGTTTGAAGAAGCGTTTTCGGAATCATCCACACAGAGAAGGGATTTAAAGTCAAGAGGCTAGAGAGGGCGCGAGCACGGAGGGAGGGAGGGGGCAGCCAGATGCGGAGGTGCGGGATGGATCTCACTGCGGGCTCGGTACTTAGTGGGCAGATTCCATCTTAAGGGTCTGACATGCGTTTCATCGAATCTGCACTGCAGCCCTCAGAGGTGGCTGCAGCCACAGCCCCACTGCCTGTGGGGCTGCCAAGGGCACATGGAGCATTGGTGGTAGGCTGGAATATGGCCCCCGAGGGCTCCTAACCCCCTCCCAAAGAGGACCCAGCAAAGAGGACCCAGCAAAGGGGACAGGAAGCAGGAGGACCCTTGAGCCTGCAGGGTGATGGGGAGGGCCAGAGATGAGGGTGTTTGCAAGATAAAGTAGCTGCACTAAAGGCTGCTGCTGGGGCCTCGTCCCTGAGGAGAGGACAAGAAGTGTCTGCCGAGTGTGCCCCACGGAGGTTATCAGTGAGCCCAATGTGAGAGGGGGAGCAAAGAGAACTGGAATGTGAGTGGGCACTTTTCTTTCTGGAAATATGCGAGACCAGATCCCCTGAAACCCTCCCACTATAAATTACCTAAAAGTGCACAACAAAGTCACAAAGAATCCTGAGTAGGGACCCTCAGTGCCCAAAGCACAAACGTGCAGTGGCCTGTGAGCAGGGGCCATGGTAGGCTGCGGGCATTCAGTGCCTCCCACGGTGGAGGGGCTTTTCCACCAGGAGAGACCCCTGCAGAAATCCAGGACCCACAGAAGGCTGCAGCCTTGGGGAGCAAGTGTGCTAGAAAAACTCGCCCACCCCCCCCCCAAGAGGAGACTGCGGGGGAGCTTGTCTGTCCTGCCCTGGCTCTGAAGTGGACCGGAGCACCTTCCCTAAGAATCACTGCGTTAGTGAGACATATGTCACTTGTGTCACAGGGAGCCGCCTTATCACCACCAGCAACACAAGCATGGCTTACAGTGTGAACGAATAAATTTCCCATAACAAATGTATTCTAATCTCAATGTTACTTATCAAAAGTCCTTGGAAACATTGAACAAACCCTTCTGCATTTGGCAAGTGCTCTGCTTTTCTTAGTAAGTAGACAAAGAGGGAAATTCAGTGTGTGAGGACAAGACGTGGAGTCAGAGCAGCTTTAACTGAAATCTCCCTGTGGTTAAGCATCCAGGTGCCAGGACTGCAAGTGGTTATTCTCCCAAGGCGCCTGGAACAACCGCCTCCCATTCTTTCAGGGTCCTTCATTAAGAACTATGCCATAGGTGGGGAACATGGCCACACCTGTTACAGCTCCGTGGCAACAGAGCTGGCTGGGCCTTGAGACTCTCTGGGACCCACAGAAAACAGTGGAAGTGGCATGTGGTTCTGGAGCCGAAGCCTCAAGGGCCAGCAGCTTCTACCCTCATCCTCTTGGAACCTTCCCAGTGCCACGTGGGGAAGCTAGACCAGTGAGCTACAAGGGCACACCAGCAATGGAGGCTAAGCAGCCAGCCAACACCACGGCCCCTGATATGGGAGTGGGAGACTGCCTTACACCCTCCTGCCCAGTCTAGCAAGCAGATAGCTGCAGCCACAAGAGTGGCCCCAGGAAGACCAACAGAAGAACCATCCAGCTCAGCTCAGCTCAACTTGAAGAAGGATCACAGGCAAATAGAAATGGTCGATGTTTTAAGCCACTGAGTTTTGCAGCAGCTTCTTACACAGCAGTAGCACCTGACACAACTGCTGAGTCAAAGCATCGGTTTTTGATGCATGTTTTAGCTAAAACTGAGTTAAATAATATAGGACTTATAATTTTGTGTTTCCATAATAATGCAATTCACTACCTTCATTAATGGAAGAAAGAAGAACATATGATCATTGTAACAAATTCAGAAAAAGATTTTATATTTAACACCCCCAAAAATTAATCAACCAAGGAATAAAATAAAACTTAATTGAAAAAGATAATATCTATCAAAAATCCACCAAAAATATTATACTTAATGGTGACATTTTAGAAGCCTTCCATTTAAAATCAAGAATGTGGTGGCTGCCCATTCTCCCATTTATCTGTACTAGAGATCCTAGCCAATGCAATAAGATAAGAAGAAAAAATAAACAGGTAAGACCAGAAAGGAAGAAACAAAGTAATCATTATTTCAGACAATATGTTTCCCAAAAGAAAGAACAAAAATATATTAGATATAGTAACAGAAGTTAACAGGATATATAAAAATCACTTATATTTATAAAAAACAGCAACAAATAGAAACTTTATGGTTTAAGAATTTATCATTTACCAATAGCAACAGAAAATAATTTATTTCAAAGAGTCGTATGACTTTATGGAGGAAATTATAAAACTGCATGAAAAGACAGTAAAGAATATTTATGTAAGTGGAGAGATATTCCATGTCCTTTGTTAGAAAAACTTGATATTATAATAGAAGAGCAAAGGACCGATAATAAAGGAGATAGAGGAGGAGGGGGAAAAAGAAGAAGAAGAAGAAAGGGGAGAGAGAGGGGGAGAAGAAGAGGAGAAGATGGAGAAGGTAGTGGTCTAAGGATTTGTTCTGTCAGTTAATACAAAGCTATGTTATTCACTACAGAAGGTTATTGACTTAAGGGATAGATAGAAAGACCAATACAACAAATGATAAAGGCCAGAAACAGACCCATATGTATCTGGAGCTTAATATGTGAGAGTGAGCATTGAAAGAAAATATGAGAGAATATCATTAAGACTCTGTGTACAGCTGGGCTTCTTAAGATACAAAAAGTGGAAACAACAAAGGAAAATTTTAAATCAAAAATTTTAAACTTCTGTTTTGCCCTTAACTATAGAAAATGAAAGGACAATCCACAGCAGAGAGAAAATATTTGCAAAATATACAATGGGCGAAAGTTTAGTACCCAGAGTATTTGAAGAATTGCTATATATTAATAAGAAAAAACATCTAATACAAGAATTGGCAAAAGCATTTCCCAAAAGAGAAAACACAGATGGCTAATCAACATGTGCACAAATGTTCAACATCATAGTAATGATACAAATGCAAATTAAAACAATGAGATACCACTTCCTACCCACCAGATTGGCAAAAAAGCACTTTTAAATAAATGAGCCTCACTAGTAATCAGGAAAATGAAAATTAAAACAACAATGGGATAGCATTTTATATCCCCCAGATTGTCAAAATTTTTAAATCTAAAGATAGAAGAGTCTGGCTTCCAGTAATGGTGGCATAGCTTGATTAGACTATGTGTCCCACAGACAGCAATTATAAAATTTGGACAAAAAATAAAATGCAGCCAGTTGGAGGCACTGAACAGTGAGCAAATGTAGGCAGAAACTGGAAGTTGACCCTTGAAAGATGAGGACTGTACAGATGAGATTTGCATGTTTGTAGCTTTTTGCCTGAGGAAACTCCTCAATCCGTGTTTTATCCATGTAAAACAGAAAGCTGCAGTTTTTCTGGCTTGAGATGTCATAGGACAGAGTTCATGGCTGAGAGAGGTGGCTGGAAAGTTGGAATGGAAATCCTTAGAAGGAAGGAACCACATCGTGGGGTGAAACCCAAAATCTGTGTATTGAAGCCACTTAACTCCTTGGCTGACCACCAAACTATACATGCATGGGAGAGGCTGGCAGCCTGAGAAAGCAGCAGCTGGAAGCTGCAAGAACTAGATAGAGATTTCAGCTGCTGCCTGCCAAAAAAGAGACAGAATATGGAATTTGATCCTAGCCAGTTTAACTGTCTGCTACAACAAAATTCAGTCCTCTTCAGAGGAACATAGCTGAATCCAGAATCTCTACAAAGCATCAACCAAATGTCTAGTGTACAATAAAAATTACTAGACATGCAGAGAAACAGGAAAATAAAATGTGAGCCACAGTTAGGAGAAAAGAAATCAATAGAAACCAACCTCGAGATGATCCAGGTGCTGAAATTAGCAGACTAAGGACTTTAAAGGAACTGTTAAAAATATATTCGAAGACTAAAGGAAAATATAATCATAATGAATGAACAGATATGGAATGTGAGCAGATAAATGAAAACTATGAAAAAGAACCAAATGGAGATTCTAGAATTGAAGAGAGCAATAACCAAAATGAAAAATGCATAGCATGTTCGAAGAGTCAGTGAAGTTGAAAATAGAATAGAAATTATGCAATATGATGAAAAGAAGAAAAATGAACAGAGCCTTGGTGACCTGTGGGACATCTAGAAGTCTAACGTGTGTAATTGGAGTCTCAAAATCAGAGCAGAGAACACACTTCCATGTGGGTCAATAATAACCGCTTCCCCCAGCCCCCAGGGCTCTGCACCTGGGACCCATGAACTCTGCACAAATCAGGGACAGAATTGTTCTGTGCAGGAGTTAGTGACTGACAGGAAAGGCTCAAAGTTGCTTTTACTTTGGCCACCAGGACTAGATAGGGTGACCCTGTGGTTGGTTGGTTGGTTGCCATCGGGCTGCAAGGTGCTGTTTTTACGTGACTCTGAGCTGTGACGTGACGCTTCCTGCGGTGGCAACAGGGCAGGGTGACAGCGGTTTTGCTTCCAGCAGAAGTGAAGGCGTTTTCCCTCTTCTGTTTCCATGTAAAGGATCATTATCACGTGGCCACTGAGTTAGGTTATAGGGAAAAGCTCTCTGAGAATTCTGAAGGACTCCGTGCAGACAGCACTAACGTGGAGGTTCAGAGACTTGAGACAAAACTCATGGGGCTGTAAGAACCTCCGCTCCCTGCGGCACTTTTCTAACCTGTCACGTAAGGGTGGGCGCCCGTGAGCTTGGGCCCTGGCAGCACTGAGTTTTCTGGGATTCTCTCAGTGGTGTGCACCTTTTGGGGGCCATGTTGGGGATGGGGTGTCTCAGAATTCAGAAAGTCCCCATTCATATGAATGTTAGAAGTTGCTCAGACATGAAAAATGACGATGGTGGCGGGGACACTGTTGTTGATTCGAAACCTCACCGAGTCACACTGAACACCAGGCCTGTTCCAGGCACAGCTAATCCTCGCAGGCCTGTGAGTGTAGGCCATTGTAATCCCCATTATAAAGCAGAAAAGGAAACTGAGGCACAGTGGGCTGCAGTAAATCCCCAAGACCCCACTCTTTGAGGATGTCGTCCCCTCTTTCCTGGACCTGATGGGGAGATCTCTGTGTCAGGCAGGGAAGCATTGGGTCCCCACATAGCCCAAAGAAGGCAGGAAACAAAGACGCCGCAGTCACAGCCAGCCCTACCCAGGTACGGGGTCAGACTTCAGCTCCAACCTGGTGGGCTGATCCCAGAGAGGGAACTCAGCCCTGAAACCCATCATTAAAAGGTCAGGGGGAAAAGACAGGTGTGGTAACTAAATTTCCGTGTTGGCTGAAGATAAGACAGACAACCCATGCTGGGGTGGGTTGGGGTGTCGGGGGGCAGGGCAGCTGCCATCCCGGTTGCCCCGTCTGCTTCTGATCCTGCTCTGTCAGGAATGGGCTTGGGGCCTCCTGCTGGTGCTCATCCTGAGTGCGCTGTCCTGGGCTGCTGGGAGACTGGAGATGCTGCCGGATCTTCAGAGGGTCCAAAGCGCTGGACGCTTGGGGGGCTACAGGCAGCACCCCGGGAGGAGTTGGCCCAACAAGCAGGACCAACGCCTCTGCTCTCTCCCCAGGTGAGCATCTGGCCGCCCTGCTGGTCACCCGGGCAGCCGCGGCCTTCCTCTTGGACCGCGGGGCTCAGGACCTGCTTCGGGACCTGCACGGGGCCTTCCGCGAGAGCCCCTCGGGGGCGCGCAAGCAGTTGGAGACCTTGCTGTCGGCTGGGGACCGGGAGCGCCTGCGGGCCCAGGTGCAGGAGGCCGCAGACGTCGGCTTCGCCCATTTCCAGGAGGTCGTGCGGAGCCGCGCCGAGCTCCGCGAGGACTCCGGCCGCGAGCTGCTGGCCCCGGTGGCCCGTGCGCTCCGCGTCCTGCGGCGTGTGGCGCCGCCCGGGGCGCGGCCGGCACTGGGCGCCCGCCTAGCCGAGTGCCTGCTTCTGGCCGGGGACGCGGCGGGCGCCCGGGCGCTGTGCGAGCGCCTGCTGAGGCCCGCGCTCCCCGGGGACCGTGCGCCCCTGCTGGCGCTGCGCGGCTTCTGCGCGCTGCACGCTGGCGACGCGCGGTGCGCCCGGGAGGACTTCCAGGCGGTGGTGGAGCAGGGGCCGCCGCACCCGAACGGCTGCGTGCGTGCTCTGTGCGGCCGCGGGCTGCTGCGGGTGCTTTCGGGCAGCGCGTTCCTGGGCGCGCTGGACTATGTCACCGCCTGCCGGCTGCGGCCGGAGGAGACTCTGCTCGTCGCCAAGGCCTACGTGCCCTGGAACCAGCGAGGGTTGCTGCTGACGGTTCTGCGGGAGGAGGGCCGCCGGATGCTGGAGCGGAAGCTGGACCTGGGACCCGGGGGCGCGCCGGGCTGCCGGAGTAAGGCCGCGGAGATGGACAGCCCCGCTGCGCAGGAAGGGTAACAACCAGAGCCTCGTGCGCCGGCCAGGGGCTGCTGCTTCATTCTGGTCTCCAGCACGGTAGCCAAGGGCGTGTTCCGTCCTATTTGTCAGATGAGTAAACTGAGGGACAGAGCGGCTAGGTGATTTCCCTAAACCGTTCTCGGCAGATTAAGGCCAAGAACCAGACCTTAGGACCCTCAGTCCCAAACAGCATGATGCATTACGGACTGACTTGTCATAGAAAATTAGAAAATCAACACGGAAATGAAAAATGAGACCCATTATCCCACTGCTAGCATCCCCTTCTAGTTGTTTCTCTTTGTGCCTATAAAATATATTTCACAAAACTGGATTTATGCTGTATTTATATGCCAGTTTTTTCCTCAGTGGACCATGAACATTTCCTTTGCTGCTCCACATGCTTCACGAGCAGCCCGAAAGCCCACCGTGTGAATGCGCCATACTTCCTTAGAGCATTCCCATGGTTTCTGCTCTTGGTTTTAATGCTTCCTGGGTAACGTCCCGTCTCCACGATGTTCTGCCCTTAAGATGGAGACAGAGGTTGAGTCCCCGGGTCAGGGAGCACGGCCCCTGCAAGGTCCTTGACTTCAGGCCCTGCTGCTGCCCATCTGGCCACACACCCCGCACTGATGTTCATTTTACGGACTCTTTGCCAGCCCAGTGGGTGGACCTGCAGCGTTTTGACGTGCGCGGCTCTGGTTGCTGGGCGGCGGCAGGAGGTGTTTCAGCAAAGCTCCTGGGGGCGTGTTTGATGTCAGCCCCCCCCCCACACACACACACACTTCCTCTGCCTCCGGTTGCTCACTGTGCATCGCTAGGACCTGCTGGTGAGGAGGAGCTTCCGTGCCTGTGATTGGGGGCCCTTCTCCTTGTTCCTTCTGGCAATTGTCACATGCGAGGCTCTGGCCCCTTTCCCCGTGGGAGTTCACTCACATCCCCGCAGGTGCACCACGGTCACTCCATGTGTGCCCTGTTTGTCACCCAGCTCTGCCTACCACACACCCCTGAGGCTGTGAGGCCAACGTTGTCATCATTTTTGTGGAAAAGGACACCCAGGCAGGGTTAGCTGGGGGTCTTGCTGACTTGCAGCCCTGACTCCCCGTCTCTAAGATGCCTGCCCATGGGGTGGTGGGAGGATGGAGAGAGGTGAGGGCCGAGGGCTGGATTTTGGAAAGGGCAGCCAGGGGTTCTGGGGACGGCGTGCGTGAGGGTCTTTCCAGCAGGACAGGGTCTCCGCAGTTCGGCGGGAAGGGCGCTGCCTGGACCAGGTGTACAGGGACAGGATTTGCTGGTGGCCCGCCTACGTGGGCAGGGGAAGGGGGTGTGGGGAAGGGGCCGGCTCTCCTCCAGCTGCTCTCTCCGCAGGGATGCCCATGGTGTGCACCAGCTGGCCATGCTTTTGATGGAGCTGGATGCAGAAGACGAGGCTTCACGCCTCCTGGCAGCTGATGCCCTGTACCGCCTGGGCCACCTGGACGACGCCCATAAGGCACTCCTGGTGGCCCTCTCCCGGAGGCCCCAGGCGGCCCCTGTGCTGGTGCGGCTGGCCCTGCTGCAGTTGCGAAGAGGCTTCTTCTACGACGCCAACCAGGTGAGGCGGCCCCAGTGGGCCACAGCAGAGCAGGCGGAAATGGGGCACAGTTCTATGGAGGGCGCCAGGCCTCCCGTGGCCCCTACTCTGCACCCCACAGCCCAGATATCCCGGACTTTGGAGCAGGCAAAGTGTGTCCCAGCCCCGGGCTCTGCCACCTCCAGCAGGTGTCTCACCTCTCTGACCCTCAGTCTCCTGGTCTGTGCCCTGGTCTTGCAGGTTCTCTTGAGAATTAGCTGGAGCAGGTACCCCAGGGCCCAGCAGTTCTCCAGCATGCAATAGATGCTCCATATTTGCTTTTGTTGTGTTATGAAAAAAAAGGACCAGGAGTCAAGTGTAGCGCAAGCTTCGTCCCAAATCTCCTATGTAAACCGGGTTCTGTTGTGACCCTGCCCTGGGGAGGGGGGACAGCAGAGGGGTCCCCAGGTCCTCAGGCCCTGCTTGCCTCACCTCTCTGAGACTACGCTGCTCCCGGGAAAAATGGACCTCACCTCCCTCAGGTGTTACGAGGCTTCCTGTGGGAACCGGAGTCAGAAGATGACCTTCCAGGCAGAGAGGTTGGGCACTGGGGCCTGTCAGCTTCCTCCTCTCCTCTGGCCAGGTTTCTGGTCTCCCTGCACTGGGCCGTACGGGGGGAGGGAAGGATGCCCTGGGACACCTGTCCACACGTGTGCAGCCAGCAGGGGCAGCATTGGGTGTCTCTGGGATGGAGCTGTCCAGAGCTGAGGTGATGTCCACTGGAGGTCCCCCTCTGCCTGGAGCAGGGCCTGGTCCCGGTGAGCTGCTGGAGGACTCCCCAGGCCCTCTGTCGCTTTATGATTTGAAAGCCCCCTTTCCTTGTGCTTTTTATTTGGACCTGCTGTGAGTAGACCCATGAAGGGACATCCCTACCTCCACACTACAGGGGAGGAGGCATGGCTCTGGGACACCCCCAAACCCCTGCCACACAGCGGAGAGGAGCAGCCCAGAGCGGCACTCACACCTCCCTGACCCCGGCCTTCCCTGTGCTCTGTGCTGGGGACGTGCAGTCACTGCCCTCCTGGAGCCACATCCCAGGAGCCACACTCCCGATGAGCCACGCCTCTGCAAGGAGGATGGGGGGACGGTCTGGCATGGGGCACAGAGAGGAACTGCGGTGACTCACCCGTCCCTTGCAGCTGGTGAAGAAGGTAGTCCAGTCTGGGGACACAGCGTGCCTCCAGCCCACCCTGGACGTCTTCCGCCATGAAGACCGGCAGCTGCTGCAGGGCCACTGCCATGCGAGGGCCCTGGCCATCCTGCGGGGGGCGCCAAGCGGGGCCGAGGGTGGAGCCCATACCAGGGAGGCCATCGCCTACCTCTCTTTGGCCATCTTCTCCGCAGGTAGGAGCTGCCCGCCCACCCCCAGGGCTCCCAAGCTGTGCCAGGTTCATGGGGGTATGGGGAGCCTCTGCAATGCTAGGGCCAGGGACCTGGGGGACCAAGGATGTGCTTGGTTCGTTTGCACCCCCAGGGGGCATCCATGGGGCAGGGGCCACTTGCTAGGGGCATCTTGCACCGAGGCCCTGGCCATCCAGGTGAACACGCTAAAGCCTGGGAGATGAGCTGGACCAGCTGGGACCTGAGCTGCCATCCCACACACTCTGGGCCCTGAGGGTGGGAGGGCTGGCGGAGGCCCTTCTGCCAGGTAGGCCCCTCTCCCTCCAACTCGGGAGGTGAGGGCCTGGCTCTCCTAGGCCCTTCCTAGAAATAGAGCACAGCTCTGTCTGTGCTCACCTGGCCTCCCGCTCACCCAGCCATGCCCGCCCTGGGCGCTGGGCAGGGGCCTGGCCCGAGCAGCACAGAGTGGGGCGTCCTTGGTGCCAGGCTTGAGCACCTGCTCTGGGGGAAAGGGACTTTCCAAGGACGCACAGCGAGTCCTGGGGGTGCATCGAGATTGGACGTGTGGACCTGGGATGAGGCTGCAGCATGGACTCCCGGCTCTGTGCTCACTGGGCGGCTCCTCACGCTCCTCTTCTCCGGGGGGGTGACGGAGAAGCCGGCGTGGGGTGGGAGTGAGCACTGAGGGAGCTGGTCCTTGGACAGGGCGGGGATGGCACCTGCTGCAGAGTTCACGCCCTGCACGCGTTAGCCAGGAGGGCACATGACCCAGAGCCACCTGCAGAGCCCAGCATGCTGCTCCCTGTGTCCATCACTGGACAGACGCCTGGAAGGAGTGTGGCGGCGGCGACCTCTTTGGAGAGGGTCCCAGAATCTAGGGGGCTCCTCCCTGCTCACCCAGTGCCTTTTGGCCTGGAGCCTTTCCACCTCCAGTGCTGAGGACCCTTCCCCCTCCCCGTCCCTCGCCTGGCCTCACTCAGATGCAGCTGCCGGGCCCCCTCCTGTCGGAGGCCGCCTCTGTCTATCCATCAGCCCTCTTAGACGCCACCCCTCTTGGTTGGGCTCCCTGTACCCCACAGCCATGCCCCCAGGTCAACCCGGACTACCCCCTTGTCCGTCTTGGTGCCCAGCGGTCTGTGAGCTCCCAAGGTGGCCCTGCAGCTGGTGTGCCCTCTGCACCCCCCATCATTGGGCGCCAGGATGGGTGCAGTAAATGCTGGATGAGGGCCGAATCACTGTACCGGGCCATTCCCGCTGCAGTCAAATCCTGATGCCACACGCCCCTTCCTCCAGGGGGTCAGGCAACTGAGTCCCTGCTCACCCGTGCCCGCTGTTACGGGTTCCTGGGCCAGAAGAAGACCGCCATGTTTGACTTCAACTCCGTGCTGCGGGCCGAGCCAGGGAACGTGCAGGCGCTGTGCGGACGGGCACTCCTGCACTTGGCCCTGGACCAGCAGAAGGTACCAGCCCCACACCTCCTCCCACCCCGGGCCTGGGCAGTGGGGTGAGGGGTGCTTTAGGGGAGGGGTGTCTGGGAAGGACCGGGACGCTACCTTCCTTCTCGGCCCCCAAAGAGACATGGAGCAGGGCCAGGCCATCCCAAGTGTGAGACGCCCATCCAACTCCCTGCACTGGGGCTCACGGGAGCCCCATCATCGCACCCCCAGTTTCGAGGAGTCTTTCCCTTCTGAACAGTTCCCCGTGCCTCCCAGCCTCAGTCAGCACGGACAGATCTGCAAACCCTCAGGGCCACCAGGGGGCCCCCCAGCTTAAGTAACGAGACCAGAGCCGGCTAAACAGGGCCTGTGGATTCGGATCGCTGGCATGCAGGGGCAGGGGCGGGAGGGGACTGCTGGCCCAGGGCAGGTGCTTTTCACAGAGAAGTCATGCCCAGAGGCGGCTGCCACTGAACATCCCTGAACAAGGGCACTTCCCAGCCAAGAGCGATGTCACTGACGAGTGACTGAAATTGGCTGTCTGCCTGATGCTCCACTGAGCCAGGGTGCAGCCCCGAGGGAACCTGCCTGCCTGGTTTCTAGTTTTTTTAAGGTTGGAATCTGAGGAAGCAAGGAAAAACAGCCCCAGATGCCACGGAGATGAGAGGGCCTCGCAATGGCACCTGCCCCTACCTGGCAGGGTGTCCATGTATCCCCCAAGGGCCCTGGCAGCCTGGTTTCTGTTCCCGCTGGGTGCAAGCTTGTGGTTGTGAGCCCAGCCCTCTGCATGCCCCTTCCTGTGCAGAGCAAGAATCTGTGGTTCGCAGGGACAAGCCCATTAAACAGAGATGGGATTCGGCCGGCAGGGCCCCTGCTGCAGTGGGGCGAGGAGGGTCCCTAGAAACCTGCCCCTGGGTGCTCTCGACATGCCAGCAGCTCCTCCAAGAGGCACCTCAGAAACGCCTCTCCTCCTGCTGTGTCCAGGGCAACAGGATGCATGGCAGGGAAAGTCGGCAGGTCTGAGAGTCAGGCCGTGGGAACAGGGGCCACCCTACCCCTGTCACGCTCGTGAATTTCCTCCTGGAGATGGGCTGAGGCTGAGCTGCCCACATGCCCTCTGCCCTTCACCATGAGAGGAGGCATGGCACAAGGAGCTCCGAGCCAGGCTGCTGGGGTCCAGGACCCTGCTCCCCCGCTCTTTAACTTTACCAGCAAGTCCTATAACATCTCTGAGCCTCGTGTCAGCATCGGTAAAATGGGAGCAGGGGAGTGCTTGTGAAAGGCCATCAGACACTCAGCCTGGGGGCAGTGCTTGGTCAAGGCTGTCAGATGCTCAGCCTGGTACATGGCCCGTAACAAGGGCTCCATATGTGGCAGCTGGAATTCCCATGAACCAGCACAGGATTGGGCTTTTGGGGCCAGCCCAGTAGCATAGTGGTTAAGTTCACACACTCTGCTTCAGGAGCCCAAGGTTCGCCAGTTCGGATCCTGGGCACGGACCTAGCACTGCTCATGAAGCCATGCTGTGGCAGCGTCCCACACAGAAAAACTGGAAGGACTTACAACTAGGATATACAACTACGTGCTGGGGCTTTGGGGAGAAGGAAAAATAAAAAAGAATTGGGCTTTTTCCCTGCAAAGGTAACCAGCTGATGTGGGTTACCACCGGCCAGTACCAGGTGCAGGCAGGGCCCAGGCCAAGGTGTCGGAAGGACTGGAGAGAATCATTCTTCCATCCACCCATCTCAGGGCTCTGTGTCTCCAGGACCTGCATCCCCACACACCTGCTCCACAACACCCCCATCCCCAGACTTTAAAAGCTTCTGGGCAAGCTCCCAGCTCTGGCTAGGAGACAGTAACTGGTATGGAGCTCCTGAAAGCAAAATAGCTGTATGAAATACAAGAGCAGCGTCTTCGGGTGTCAACAACAGGCCGTGGAGAACTGCCATCCCCAGGGAAGGGAAACCACACGAGGCGAGCCCCATGGGAACTGACTTTGCGCGGGGAGCCTTCCTGTCATCGCACAAGGAGGTGGGCAGTGGGTTTGCTGGGCTGAGGAGGCGGAGACTAGAGTTCCAGGCTGTTGCAGTGGCTGGAATTTGCTAGAAGGGCAATGGAGAAGAGGGGGCTGTGCCAAGCAGAGAAGGCGTTGTGGAATTTGCCGTGGGTCCTGTCTCAGGGCTGGGCTGCTCACGTGGGGCAAGACCCAGAGGCCCAGCACAGCTCACTTGTGGTGGGGCTGAGGGCTCCACAGCGACCCAGGGTCAGGCCAGGCTGGGAGATGTTGGAGCCCTGACCCAGCCAGAGCAGAGTCCTTTTGGAACACCCTGGGCACTCAATTGAGACCGCACCCTAAGATCGAGACTGAAATGGACCTGCACTGACAAGGAACAAAACCAAGTCCTGCAAAACCAAAATGACCCCCAGAACAAAACACGACCCCCTTCACAGGATGGTGACGTGATCCAGGCTCTGTGCAACGTACCAGCCGCAAAGTCCAGCACAGAACCAAAAGCTGCCAGACATGCAGAGAGCCAGGGGAATGTGACAGTAATCAGGGAAGTAAGGACTCGGTAGAAACAGAGCTTGAGATGGCTCAGATGTGGGCATTAGCAGACCAGGGCACTGAAGCGGAGACGATACACGTGTGAAGGACTCAAAGGAAAAGTCTGTCATGATGTGTGAACAGACGGGGAACCCTAGCCGAGACATGCAAACTATCAAGAAGAATCAAGTGCAAATTCTGGAGCTGAAAAGTATCTCTGAAATTAAAAATGTGCTGGCTGGGCTTAACAGCCGATTGGACGCTGCCAAAGATTTAGTAAAATTGAGGCTGGACCAATAGAGAGGGGAAAGGACTTTTAAAAACGAAGAGAGCTTCGTGGACCTCTGGGATGTCTCCAAGCGCTCTAGCACATGTGTAACTGGATCCAGAGGAGAAAGAAAGGGGCAAATACATATCCATTTATACTTGACCAAGATGTGCCTGGGTGAGGTTCTCCTCATGTCTATCATCTTGGATTTTTTGAGCTTTTTGGGAAACATTCTTCAAATATATATACATATCTAATGATATATGCAAAACACAGAGAGAACCACACCTAGACACATCTTGGTCAAAGCTCTGAAACCAAAGATGAAGAAAACATCTTAAAAACAACCAGAGGAAGAAAGAAACGTTACGTACAGTAGAACAGCAGTATTAAGAATCGTTTCTGATGTCACGGAAACAATGGAAGCCAGAAGACGATGGAATGGTATCTTTAAAGCGCTAAAAGAAGTGAAAGTACTCACCCAGAATTCTCCGTCCGGTTAAAACGTTCTTCAAAAACAAGAGTGAAATTGAAGACATTTTCAGATAAATGACAGCTGAAAGGTGAAGATTCAGCCCCAGCAGACCTGCACCTCGAGAAATGCTAAAGGAAGCTGATGAAGTTGAGGACACCCAAGGGAAATTGTCTGCTGGAAGAAATGAAGAGCACATCTAAACACAAAAGAAAATGTATTTCTTCTCTTAATTTCTTTGAACAAACTCTCCATATATCACAAAGGATGGGGCGAATGAGATTTACTGCTGTGTGGCTCACATCCTACGTGAACTGGCACCATGTTAGCCGCAGGGACTGTGGTGAGCAATCTGCAGGGCTGGAAATATATTAAAAGGAGCAGAGTTAAAAGGCCAACAGAGGAATTAAAATGAAGCACTAAAAATATTCAGCTAGCCCAAAAGAAGGTAGAAAGGAAGGAACAAAGGCACAGAAAAAGATAACTGGAGGAGGACGGGCCTGACCTTGGCTCCATGGCCCCCAGCTGTTGGCCAGGTCAGAGGTCAGATGCAAATGACTCACCCTGACCACCGTCAGGCTCTGCCCTGGCCTCCTGTGCCTCCACGTCACGGTCAGGGCGTCCAGACCCCTCCTCGCCCTGCTGTCCTCCAAACTGCACCCGCAGCCCCCGGCCCCACCCCCACGTGCCCGCCGCCCTTCTGTGCCATAGCGGGTTCTCTGTCAGGGTGCGCCTTCTTCGGTTCCAAACCATCTCTCCTTTCCAGAACTCTGATACACCCTGTGCTGCCTTGTGTCGCTCACCAGCTGGCCCCTCATTTGGGCTGACCCCCCCCAAGTTGTGCGAGGGCAGGAACTCGGCTCACTACCCTTTCTGGTGTCCCCAACACCCAGGCCCTGCAAAGAACCCTTGACAAATACTCAGCTGGGACAACTTCTGCCACACACCCTGCTCTCCTCCCCTTGCAGGAGGCTGTGGACGACATCCTCTCAGCTCTGAAGCTCGACCTGACGACAGTGGTCCCTGAGATCTGCTCTCTGAAGCCAGAGGCGCGGGCCCTCATCACGCAGGGTCTGTCCTCCCGCTGCCGGGTCCTCCTGAGCCAGTCACTGGACACCGGGGCTCCCCTCAGTGACGAGGACACCCAGGGCCTCCTTGCCGCAGGGGAGGCACTGGTCAAAATCGATGCTGGGCAGCTGAGCTGGCACATCCTCCTGGCAGACGTGCTCACTGCTGTGGGTATGCGACAGCCAGGGCGTGGGGAACGAGGGCGTGGTCCCAGATCCTCTCAGCCCTGGATTCTTTTCTGTGAAATGGGGTGAGAGGCCCTGGATTCAGTGGCTTCTAAGGTCCCTTCCACCGCAACAGGACCTGTCACCTGGTCTTCACGTGGGCCTGCTGTGTGCGTGTCTCTAGCTCTCCGAGTCACCTGTGTGGCACCAGCAGCAGGGCGAAGAAACACAGGAGTGATTTGGGATTTCATAAAAGGCTCAAACGCTGGGGCCTCCTCTTTAACTCATGCGTTTATTCAATAAATGTTAAGTGAGTGCCCATGGGACGCCAGGCCGTGTTCTGGGTGGGACTGTCTGAAGCGCACATGTGCCCAAATGTCAGTCTTTCTTGCAAAATCCTGAAAACATTTCAGCACTAATTAGAAAAGGGAGGTCTCTCGGCAGCCCGCATTTCCCCAGCCTGTCATATCCCCCAAGCCTGTGAGGTGCCCCAGCAAGGGCCTTCAGGGGCCCAGAGGTGGCAACCAGCCCATGCTGCCCTGCCCCCGCAGGTGCTCTGGAGAGAAAGCAGACCCTTGCGGAGACCACAGGGAGGGGCTCAGAGCTCTGCTGCTCCACCTCAGGGTCATGGACTTTAGTGACCCCCGAGGTGTGGGGACTGGAACAGGCAAGTCCATGTGACCAGCATGATGTCACCATGTCCCTCTGCTCCCGGCTCCTTCCTCCTGGGGCTGAGCCCCTCCGTCAGCAGGCTGCTCCCCCAGCCAGCGCAGAGCAAGAAAGGCCATGGTGGGCTTCCCAGTGCAGTGATCAGTGAGTCCCGCTTGTCACGCCCCCTGCCCCAACCCCACCCTGACTGTCCTTCCTGCATCCCGGACAGGAAGCTATGAGGAGGCTGGCGCCCGCCTGCAAAAAGCCCTACACCCCGCCCCGCCATCAGAGCCTGCCCGAGCCCGGCGGGGCCTGCTCCGGCTCAAGAAGGGAGACGTGGTGGCTGCTGCGCGGGACCTGCAGTGCCTGGCGGAGACGGACGCCCGGGACCTCGGCTTCCTGCTGCAGCTCCTGGAGGCCTCGGAGAGGCAGAGCCTCGCCCAGGTGCCCAGGATCCCAGGGAGCCCCTCCCCAGCACCACGGGCATGAGACCCCAGCCCAGGGCAGCTCCGCACTCCCTGCAGCCCACCTGATTTCAGCTGGGGGCGGCGTGGGGTGGACGTGTGAGCAGGAGGCCCCCGGGTCAGGCCAGGAGAGGTGGGTGGCCAGGCTGGCTCCTGCAGGTGGTGAGCTGAGAGGGGGCCGTGAAGGGAGGTCGCCTGGGGTCCCTGCCTCTGGCCAGTTGATCTTTCGTTCCACTGTTTATGGGACAATATATGAAGGCCTCCACCAGGCGCCAGTGGAGCTCCTACCCTGCCCCAGGCCCTCGCATTTCAGGGAGACAGTGAGGACACTCGCTTCAGAGAGTGTCAGTGTCGGAGAGACCCTGGAACAGGGCAGTGGGCTAGCGAGGTGGAACTGGAGGTGAGACCATGATGGGACACACAGGCCAAGGCAAAGGCCTGGAGGTAGGAAACAGCCAGGGACGTTCGAGAATCAAAAAGGTGCAGCTGGCAAGGGGGGCCTGGAGAGGAGCGGTTTCTGGGTCAATCGCTAAGGAAGCCAGTGACAGAGGAGCGAGTGGGGCGGGGCAGAGGGAAGGGTGCCCGGCATTCTGCTCCGCCCACCGCCCCCCTTCCCTGGCTGGAGGTGGTGGGAGAGGCAGGGTGCGGGGGACTGGAAACTGCACTGCGTGAATTTAACCTCCTGGGGGGAGGGCGGCGCAGGGGCCACCAGGATGGGGAGGCCGAGAGCATAGACGGGCTTTGGAGCCAGTGAGCCGGCATGAAGCCCTGTGCGGCCCGGGGCGAGTGTTTCACCTTGCGCTCCGTTTGCCCCTGGCTCTAGCGGGCTGTGCGCCCAGGGTCCCCCAGGAAGACAGGAGCCACAGTACGTGTTTCAACCCGGGGGTTAACAGAGGGGCTGCCGACCGAGCTTTAGGGACGGAGAGAGTAGAGGGAGCCGGGCGATGCGGAGGGAACAGCTGCCTCCTAGGGCGGCATCAGGCCCTGGCGCTCGGGGAGCCAGCCCTGAGCAGGGGCGGGCGGGGGTCTCCGCGTTCACAGGACGGACGCGCGAGGGTCTCAGAGCGGGAGGGGTAAGGGAAGGGCCGGGCGGGGGGGAGGGTCTCCGAGCGGGAGGGGGAGGCCGGGCTGGGCCTCCCGGAGGCAGGTTCCGGCTGCGGCTCGAATCCGCCAGACGCGCTGCCGTTGCCTAGCAACGCGGGCCGACCCGGAAGTAAACAGGAAGTGGTTGCGCCCGCTTCCGGCGGTCCTGTGCCTGTGCGGCGGGCGCCTCCTCCCCCGAGCTCCCGAGGCGGCGCGGCGAGAAGTCGGGTCGTTGGTTCGAGTCGCAGGCGGGGACGGAGCGGGGCTTCCGCGCGCTCCGGCGGGGAGGCACGTCCACGGCGCCCCGGGCCGGGCCCCCGCGCAGCCGTCCGCAGGCCCCAGGAGGGGAGGGCGATGGACGGCGCCTGCTGAGCTCTGGCCCCGCCCTGCTCCCGCTGCGGCTCGGGGGAGCCCAGGGCAGCCCCCCTGGGAGCGCCGCCCTGCCCGTCCCGGGGGGCAGGCGCTGAACCGCAGCCCCCGGGTCCCGCTGGCAGGTGCCGGGGCGGAGTGCGGGGCCTGCCCGAGGAGGGGCGGTGGCGGCACCTCTTCCCCCCGACTCTGATCCCGGCTCCGCGGGGCGAGCGGGAGCCGCCATAGGGAGATAGCGCCGTTGCACTAGCGCCCAGCGGGCCCTGCCTTCCTGACCTGGGGCGGCGAGGAGCGGGCTCAAGGACCTGCCGGGCAGAGGCGCTGTTTGCTACTGTTCCCAAGGCGGGGGCAGCCTTGGAGGGTGGGCAGGGTGGGGGGCCGTGCAGTGGCCTCATCAGCGGGGCCTGCTGGGGAGGTGAGGAGAGGAGGGAGCGAGAGGGAGGAGGCCCCCGAGGTGAGAGCGGCAGCAGGGCTGTGAGAAAGCGGGGTGACCGGTGAGGAGGAGGGGAGTGGAGGAGGGCTAGGCTGAGCCTCAGCCCCGCCTCCCTCCGGAGAGCAGAGCGTCGGGGGTGGTCGGGTTGCAGGGAGGTGCCGTCTGCCCCTGCCTCCAGCCCCTGGGAGGAGCCTGCTGAGGCCTGCTGTGCGGGGCTGGAGAGGGGCCTGTCGGGTTCTGGACTGACCCTCCCTCCCTCCCTCTGTCCCCACTGCAGGTCGCAGCCCAGGAAGCTGGCACCCTCCTGAGCTCAGGGCAGCCTGGGCAGGCGCTGGGCTACTGCTCGCTGGCCGTCCTGGCCGGTGGCGACAATGCCTGGCACCTGCGTCTGCGGGCCGCCTGCCTGGCCGAGCTGCGGGACTTTGGCCGGGCTCTCGGGGACCTGGACCGCGTGCTCCAGGAAGGTTCCGGGGACAGCGACCTCCCAACGCGGGCAGAGGACCTCTGCTCCCGGGGCCGCCTGCTGCTGAGCCTGGGGGACGAGACTGGGGCTGCAGGGGCCTTCGCCCGGGCCCTCAAGCTGGCCCCCACCGTGGCCCAGAGCAGCCTGTGGGAGCGGCCGGGCCGGGCCCCTGCCGCCCAAGCCTTGCTGTGCCACGGGCAGCGCTGTCTGGAGGATCGGCAGTATGCAGAGGCCTGGACAGCAGCTGAGGGTGGCCTCCTGCTGGACCCCCAGCACCGCGGCCTCAGGAGGCTGAGGACTAGCATCCGGAGGGAGGCGTCTGGCTGCCGGCTCCACTGACCGGGCTGCCTCCAGGCCCAGTTGTGGGGCTGCCCTGTCACTATCACCTGATGCCCGACCCTGCAGTGCACCCGCCCGAGTCACGCAGGTGCTCACCCCACACCCGGGGCTCGGGCTGCAGAGAGGCAGCCCTGGTTCTTGTCCCTGGCTTCTGACCTGCAGGTTGGGCAGGAATGAGGCTGGATCCCTGTAGCCCTGGGGAGATGGAGCCGGCCTAGGAAGCCCTTCTCTGGGCGTGAAACGGCCCTTGACCTTGGCCTGACTCTCCGACTGGGTTCCTGCAGCACCTGGGCCTCCCTAAGGACAGAAGTCCCAAGCTGGGGCTTGTTTGCCAAGACCGGTGCTTTCATCCAGGTCCTTCTCCAGGGAACCCAGTGCCTCAGGCTGCCACCCACGGCCTCAGCTGATGTGGCTCCCCCCGCTACAGGCCCTTCCCCTGCCAAGCAGAGACTAGCTTGGGACCCCTAATGAGCAGAGCAGCCAGACTTTTCTACTTGACTGACATGGCAACACTGTAGGAAGGTAAAGGTGCTTCCCAGGTGGATTAAACTCCCGCGCCTGTTTGCGGGGAAACCTCCCCCGGGGAGCAGAGGGGCCCAGCCTTGTCTCATCAGCATGGGTTCCTAGGGCCCAGGTCTGAGTTATGCAGATTTTCTCTGTGCTCAGGAACGAGAGCCGTGCTGCACAGGCTGCCTTGGGCAGGTCAGGACCCCACGCACCTTCCTGAGCTCTGCCTCTAGGGACAAGACCAGGCCACCCGGCCCAGGCTGCGCTCTGCTTTCTCAGCTCTTAATTTGCTTCGTGCCTGGCTGCCCCCCTTCCTCTGCCCAGCACAGATCCACCTGCTCTCTCAGCTCCACACCCACCTCCCACCCACCTCCTCCATGGGCCCAGTCAGGGAGGTAGCCCCAGTCCTCGCACCATCCCCAGGGAGCAGGGAGGGTAGCCATACAGGGTTGGCAGCCCCCTTTCTCTGGCCATGCCCTCCCCATCACCCACCACGTGGGAGCCCTCAGCCCTCCCCACTGCCTTCGTCCTATGGTGTCACCGAGCCCTGCTGGGCTGTGGCGCCTGGGGCTGAACAAGGGGCCAGTGCCTCCCACAGTGAGGACAAGGGCAGGGAGCCCAGAGAGTGGGGAGGGGACTCCATGGGGGGCGCTGCAGCCCCATTTCTCTACTTGCCTTCCCCACTGGGATCCTCGAGCAGTTCCTGGTTCTCCAAGATTTCCCAATGCAGGGTCCTCACTAGGCCACTCCATCCGTCCCCCCGTCTATTCATGTCCATCCGTGCATTCGTTGGCTCAACAAACATCTGCCAAGAAGGCTGAGGCACCAGTGTGGGCCAGGTTCAGAGACGCGCGCAAGGGTCCACGTGGCTCAGATGGGCCATACGGCCCTAAGGCCCAGGGGTGAGACTAGGCCCAGGGGTGAGGACAGGCCCAGGGCCAAGGTCAACAGAGAAAGGCCAGCCCCTGGTGGCGGGAGGGCAGAGGCCAAGGGACGAGTCACCAGAGGCCCTCCCCACCCCCACGCCTGGTTTGCTCCTGCTGTCGTCCTCCCAAAAGTCCTGCCCCCGGCCTACTCTCAAGGCCATGCGGGAGCTTGTCACACTGAGCGTGTGGGTGCCCCGCTCCACCTCAGTTCCTCCAGGCGGCCCCACCTCAGCTCACTGGGGTTTCTCTGTCCCCAAGGGGCATCACCTCCCATCCCACAGCTCGTGTCCCACCGTCTCAGGTCAGCCTTTGCTTGGCCCAGTCCTGCTCCCTCCGTCACCCACCTCTGCCCTGAAGGCAGGCTGCCAGCCCCTGAGCACAGGGGGAGGGTCTTAGTTCCCTGGGCTCCCCCCACCACTGCGTGGCTCCAGGACTGAGCAGGCTCCCTGAGCGCTGGAGGATTCTAAGATGTGATTGATGCAGTAACACTCTCCCCGGCCAAGAGCTGGGACATTTCCAGGGCTGCCCAGGCCTCACCTGCTCCAGGAGCTGATGCTCTTTGCAGATTCACCTGCACTCCCTGCGCAGCCCCTGACCTGCTGTCCAGGGCCCCCTGCACCTCACTGCTGAGCTGGAGGCTGAGAACCCAGGCCCCAGTGTGCCCCGACAGGGGGTGTCCCACTCCTTGCAGCCTGGCTGCCCAGCCTCATCTCTGCCCTTGTCACTGGGCACCAGGACTGCCCACAGATGGGAGAGAAGCCGGGAAGGTGGAGCTAACTGCTAGTGAACAAGCTCACCACCAGCGGGTCGTATGGCACTGCGTGTATTTTCCCAAAGGTCTTCACATACATTAGTCCTTTCTTTCCCACCCTAGAGACCCTGTGAAGTAAGCCTCATCGCATTCTGAAAGCTGGGAAAGGTCCAATATTTGCCAATCAAAGTTAGCCGGGGTGTCTAGGAGCCATACCCAGGCTCCTGGCTCTCAGGGAGGGTTCTGCAGCAGAAGACAGCCCAGGGGGCCCTGCAGAGAGGGCCTCATCCTCCCCAGCTCCATGAGCAAAGTCTGTGCTGCCTCTCACCCTCCCTGTCTGCCCCAACGTTCATCAGGGACATTCCCACATCCACCTTGTCTGCAGGTACATGTGAGGGATGGCTGCTACCCCAACCTCACGCGGTAGCACCCAGGGGGACAAACCAAGCAAGGCCTGGACAGCCTTCAGAGCAGATGAAAAGGTGGATCTAACTGACATCAGTCGGACTCTTACCCCAGAAGAGAGGCTGCACCTGCTTTTCACAAAATCACCACGTTTTAGGTTACCGGGAAAATGTTCATGATAGGGTGTAGATAGCATTACCTAATCTCAAGACGATAAAGCCAGAAATGAGCTTTTAAAAATTCCCTGCATGTGAAACAACTCTTGGGTCCAAGAGGAAACCAAATCTGGAATTGCAGAATGTTGGAAAAATAATCACAGAAACAGTCCAGGGAAGCCCCTGTAGAGCCCAGCCACAGCAGAGGGAAGTTCTGGCCCCAGGTACCAAGGTTACTAAGCACGGAAAATGACAATGAGTGAAGTGTGTGCTCAATTCAAGAGATTAGAAAAAGACGATTAACAGAGGAAATCAAAGGCAGTAATTAATAAGGGTAAAAAGCAGAAACTTACTAGAAACAGAAAAATGGAAGAACTAATAAACCCAAAATATGATTCGTCAAAAATCAAATAGATGAACCAAGAGCTAACTTAATCAAGAAAGATGGGAAAAGCTCAAAGACACAAAATTTTAAAAAGGGACAAGGACAAAATAAACACAGGAGATTTAAAGAATCATAAGAGGCTACTTTTCTCAATTCCACGCAAATAAATTTGAAGGCCTGGATGAAATGGATTCGTTCCTAGGAAAATATTATTTAACTAAACTGACTGGAGAGTAGACCTGAAACTTGCACAAGGTGGTGACCTCGGAGGGAAGGAGAAGGCTGGTGAGGAGCTTCCCCCAAAGCAGGTCCAGGCTCAGGTGGTGTCGGGGAATCTACAGGCCTTCAAAGAACGGTCGATTCCAACTGGCTTTAAACTACTTCACAGCCAAGGAAAAAGAGAAAAGCTTCCGAGTTCTTTTTTGAAGGAAGTGTCATCTCAACCAAGTGAAAACCACACGCCAAATTCATCTATGAGTGACCAGTTCAAAAACCCTAAGTGAAATACCAACAACCCTAAATCCAACAGCATGTTGAAAGAATAACACACTGTGAGCAGTGTAGACAGGAATGCAAGGATGGTTCAGTGAGAAATGTATTCATACAGTTTGTCACAGAAGGCATGCTAAGGAGGAAGTGAGTCCTGTGACCCCTGTGGGGGGGCTGCAGTGGGAGGTACCGGTCACGCATGATGAATCCTCTCCAACACGTCTGTCTCCCTACGCCTCGGGATTCCTTCCTCTACATTACACCAGGGACGTTCCAACATCTCGGCTTAACTGTAGACAGCCTTCAGGCCCAGACTTCATTCAACCAAGTGAACTGTTGGAGTCGCTCCGCAGTGCACGTGAGCCAACACATTAAATCCAGATTCTCTGGTAGGTGCACCCGTATCATTAGAGCCAAGCCAAGCCAGTGCTCCAACACAGTGCCCTGCTGCGGTCCAACACCCGTACACTCCGTTCTCACGCACAATTCCCAGGTTCCTTGGTCTGAATTAATGAAATCTTGCAATTGTCAGGGTATACGTGCCGCTTCCTCCTGGGTCAGACTTTGTGCCTGACGCCCCCCTCCTGCTGCGTGCTGAGACTGGACCCTGCTTATGGGTCTCGAGTCAACGGACAGGGGGAGGTCGAGGAGGCTGAATAAGATGAGCATCCTCTGTAGGCCCCCCAGCCACGTGAGGTTATCTCAGGGCTTTCTGAGGTCTTCCTCAGTCAGTGAAGGACAAACCGCTTCCACTGGAAAGAGGGGCTCAGAGGACATGGGGGTGCGAGGTTCTCAGCACCACCTGAGCCCGACCAGATGTCCCCCTTCCTGGTGTCAGGGTCACATTCCTTCCCAATCAATGCCCTAAATTTCTCATAAGAAAATTAGTCGGTTGTAAATGCAGCTGACACTGTAGTTGTACAACTGACAGAATTAGACGTTACTTTTGACTTTTAGCAATGTCAGTCCTGTGCATGTGAGAAATGAGGGCTCCTTTGGGGGCTGCCGTGGGGTCTCTGCTGCTCTTGCTGTGACCTGAGTGGAGAGTTCAGAGACCTGAGCTTGTCGTTTTCTCACGTAAGTGCTCCAGGACACTCAGGAGGCCAGCCCACCACTGTCCCTGTGGTTGTCACTCCCGTCCCAACAGCCACGTGCAGCAAGGCCCTTGACTCAGTCAGCACATCACAACCAACCACGGCGGCAGCCCTGTCACTCAGGAAGCCACTGGTACCATGGAGTCATGTTTTCAAGGAGCTCGGCCCCCAGCCAGGCCCAGGGACCCACCAAGCCAATCCCCAAATCCTATCTTTGGGGAACCTGTGACAGGGACCACTCCTGGTACCAATTTATGTATCAGTTAGGGTCCACCCTGGAGACAGAAACCACTCCTGTGACTCCAATAACGAGAATTTAATATAAAGTAGTATTAATTAGTCATGAGGTGTTATTATTATAACTGGGGTAAAGGTAACACATGGGGTCATGGGAAGAGCAAGCACAGAGCTCAAAGACAGATGACCAGCCCCCCAAACAGGCTGTCAGCCGTCACCACCACCCTCAACTCCGTGGCCAAGCTCCTCTGCACGTGCCCATCGCCCCTCCCAGGTCCTGCCTGCGCACACGTTTGTGCCAGCGCCCAGCACTCTTCTTTCTGACTCTGTGACAGATCTCACAGGGGAGGGGATTGAGGCTGCAGCTATTGGGGCTGGGTTGGTGGCTTGATGACGGAGACCTGGGATGGGGTCAGACCACCCTGGCCCCACTCCCTCCTGTCCAGGACACCCAAGGCCTGACGTCAAGAGGCAGCTGGTGGGGGATCCCAGAGCCCCAGCTCTCGGCCCAGCCTTCCAGGTGCCTTGGACATGTTATGAGACCTCTCCCAGCCTGTCTGTCTTCTCTAAGTGGGCACCTTGTGTGTACCTGGAGTGGGGCTGGGCACACCCAGGGAGATGGGTTCCTGCCATGCTGAGGCCCAGAGTCACGCCTGCTAGGTGGGGCTGGTCTTTGCGCAGAGGACAAGACCTGCCCCCAGACCATCCAGCCTGAGAGCGTGGGGCAGGGAGGGGACGGGCCCAGCAGTCAAGGGCAGGCTCTGCAGGGTCCAGGAGCAGCCCTCCAGAGGAGTAGCGATGGAGGCTAAATCCCTCTAGACCTGCCCTGGTCCCAGGACCCACGAGGGAAGGGTCACCCACCCCTCCCCCATGGTGGGCTGCCTCCTTGGACCCCAGAGCCGAGGCTGGGCCTCAGACCTCCACGTCACACATCTGCTGCCCGAGGGACAGGGAAGCGTGGGCAAGGAGCCCCCAGGAGCCCCTGAGCTCTCCTGGGAGAAGGGAATAAAGTCACCGCGCAGGAACATCCTGGGTGGCAGTAGGGGCGTCTGTGTGTACCAGTCTGGTGCATCCGGAGCCCTGGCTGGGGCTGAGGTCTGCAGCCCCCCGGCCTTTGGAGCCCCTTTCCCAACTTCTCTCGGCTGGCAGGTGTCCAAGCACCCAGCATAGCTTCGCTTGGTTCCCCCCAAACCTGCAAGTCTCAGCATCATGGCCCCTGGGAGGCGGCTGGGACCCCAGGCCCCTTACTTTCTGGCAGTTTCTGTTTTCACTGACAGAGCTGCAGATGGGAGGAACCAGTGATGGGATGGCCTCGGCGGGAAAGAGGGGCTGAGCTCCAGAGACCAGCCAGCCTCTGTGTCCACGTGGCCTTGGAGGAGAGCGGGGGCCACTCTAGCTGGACATTGTAGAGTGTGGGTCCCCGAAGTCATCATGCTCTGGGAAGGAGCTTCTGGTTGACCGGGCTGGCCCCTGGCCACCCCCCGGCTCCCCAGGAAGGACAGTTCCGGCTCTTACTCCTCTGACCTTGACCGCATCTCCACTCGGACCAGTAGCCCACAGCCAGTCTGCCAGCTCCTCACTCTGGATGGGTTTCTGGGGGACAGCCAGGAGGCTGAAGATGTGGGTGGTGTCCAGGATCTGAGCCCCTCCCACGGCGGGGCCCACCTGACAGGCCACCTGAGCATGGACTGGAATCTTCCAACAGGACTCGGCTCAGGCCTTCTAGTGAGGGAATGGCCATGAGGGGCTGTCTGCCACGAGACCCCGGCTCTTATGCCTGCCTGCCCTGACTCTCTGACAGAGTCCCTGGGGCTTGGGGGACTACTGGTTCCGTGGGATTCTGAAACGGAAGCGGAACTGCGCTGGTGACGGAGTCAGGCCTGAAGAAGCGAAGTCTGGGCTTTGCCCCAGGCCCCTGCTCCCACCAGTGGGGTGGGGGTGCCTGAGTCACACTCCAAAGCACTGGGGTGCCTCTGCCAAGCCCAGAAGCCCGTCTCCCACTCCCCTAGCCAGCGCCACCTACCACCTGGGGTTGGGGTCTGAGCCTCAAGTCCCTAGCGGCAGAAGGAGCAGCCGAGCCCCACGATAACCTAATGTGGGCGTCTCTGGGTGGGGACCCTGCCTGACAGCCCCACCCCACCCTATCATGATAAGCAGAGACACCCCCTCCTCCCCTGATACCCTGGCAAGACTCCCAGGACCCACCACCCTCCCTGGAGGCTGCAGAGAGGAACCCCATGTGGGGCCTTTGCAAACCCCACAGCCAGCGGGTTCTCTGGTCCCCAACCCTCGGGCAAGAGGGGCAGGGTGGGGAGAAGGGTCTGGCCTTCCTTCCCAGCAGCCTCTTTGGGCAGGGGGCCTGGTGTCCCAGGAGCTGCTCTCGGCCCCTCCCCCCACACCAAACCCCAATGGAACTCGCTGACTCTGAGCAGGAGAGGGTCCAGCCTCCAGGGCACCAGGCCGCATCACAAAGGAGGTCCCCCCAAGGCCCCACCTGACCTGACGCCCCACCTGGGAGACTCCTGCCTGGCCCAGCTCACAAGGTCCCTCCTGACCCAGCCTTCGGAGACCTGCTCCTGGGTGGCGGCCATTCCCGAGTGACCTGAAGGTGAGCGGAGTGAGGGGCCTGCCGGGCCAGGTTTCCCGGGCCATGAGAACACCCTCCAAGTGCCCAGCCATTTCCCCGGGGGGCCGGCGGGGCATGTAATGTGCCACCTCACCTGTCTCTGGAGCAGCACCCCCAACACAGTCCCCCTCCCGTAAGGACCCCCGTCTCCCTGGCCGGAGAAGCCTGAAGAGGCCGCGGGGTGCCCAGGGAGACGAGGACCTGGCTGCCACAGACTGGCCGCTCCCTTGTCCTCAGCCCTCTGAAGGTTTTTCTGTGTACATGCCTTTCTGTCATATTGAGTTCCAGGAAGTGAGCAGGAAGGAAGTGGATTAGCAGAATGAGTGAGTGAATCCATTAGTTCTGATCAAAGAAGGGAGAGGCCGGTGAAACGAGCCACAAAGGCCAGACCTGGCCCACCTCGTTGATTCACTCGCTCGTTCGGCAGATGTTGGGTGATGCCTCTGGGTTGGTGGACTCCAGTCTAGGTGCCGGGGACCCAGGCAGACAGAGCCCCCTGCCCGGGCCCTGACGTTCCCACGGGGGAGGCGGACAATGGGAACAGAAATAAGGGCATAGATGCCAAGTCACACGTCTGGTGGTGAAATAGAAATGAGGTCGGGGGCCAGGGCTGGAGCCAAGGCTGGCTGTGTTGAATATGGAGCCCAGGGGAGGCCTGGAGGGGGGTGACCTGGAGCAGAGACTTTCGGGGAGTGCAGGGGACATATGGGGATCTGGGGGTGCCGTGGGGAGGACGGTAGGGGGTGGGGAGAGAGGTAACAGGGCCATGGAGGGTGCTGAGATCAGAGCAGGCCTGGCTTCTCTCGGGTTGGGTCATGTGGCAGGTGATGCCCAGGGAGTTAAGACCCCCCAGGGAGTCAGGACAGAACTCAGGGGGACTCCTGGGTGTTGGCAGGTCAGAACATCTAACTCAGCCCTGATTGGTTCTCAGTGGCTGGACGCTTACCCACCAAGGGCAGGACTGGGTCTGTGCTCCTCAGACTTCTCTCAAACGTCCAGCCCCACCTAGGGCAGGGGTCAGGACCAGACCCAAACATCAGCTGTGTAACGTCTGAGGACTGGAAGCCTGAAGCACAGGGGATCAGCCAGCTGCTCCCCAGGTGTCCAATCAAATTCCAGGGGCCAGGCTCTGAGCACCAGAAAAGGAGGTGCCCATGCACACACATGCATGCACATGCACATGCATAGTCACACATGTGCACACTCGCTCATGCACGTGTGTACATGCATACATATGCTTATGCACACACAGGAGCGCATGCACACAACTCACACACGTGCATACACACACAGGGATACACACATGCACACAGGGGACATGCATGCACACTCACACACAAGGGAGCACACAAAGACCTGGGAGCCACCCGTTCTCCCTGCCGGGTCCCAGGCGGTGCGCCCTCTCCCGCACACAGCAGCAGCCCTTGTGTCCTCACCACTGCCCTCTGCCTGGGAAGGTGTCCCCTCCAGGGACAGGGTAGGGGAGACCACAGGACCTGCACACCAGCCAGGCGACTGCTGGAGCTGGTCCTGCCATGTCCCTTCCTGGCGTGTGAGGTCGCTGCCTGCCTGGATACCGGTCATTCTCATCTCCCCCCTCACTGGCTCCTGGGCTCTAGGTAGGAGAGGTGGGCAGGGAGTCCAACGGCCCAAGTCACCTCCCAAAGGGTTTCCCAATTCCAGGACCCCCTCAGCACAAGGGCCCCAGGTGGTCCCCGCTACAGAAGCCCCTAGACAAGCACAGGGAGCTGAGCCTCCTGGGTCCACTGTGCCCACCCTAAGCTATGAGCAGAGCGGTCCCTGGACCACCTCCTGCCAATGAGCCCACTTGGAGAGGCCGACCTCAGGAAGAGACTGCCACCGTGGCCAGCAGGCTAGGCCACCACCCACCATCAGACACCCTTGACATTCAGAGACTCTAGTCCAGGGAGAGGGTAGAAAGCCCTGAGACTCGGGCCTGAGGCCCAGGGGGATAGATTGGAAGATGGAGAGAGGGGCTGAGCATCCAGAAATGACCCGGCATCTGCTCCCAGACAGCATCGGTCCCTGCCAGCCTCAGGCAGGGCCTCAGAAGCTCCACACCGCGTCTCCCCTGCCCTGGTGTCCCCACCCTGGGTGGACACCGCCCCTGCCCTTGCCCTTGGGCTTGCTCAGCTGTGCACTTTCCCCGTCTAGAGACTTGGTGATGGGGAAGTCCGAAAGCCCAGTGAGGATGGTGGAGATCGCTGGCCGGTGGGGGCAGATGCACCGAAGCTTCCTGGAGGGGGGGCTGCTGCTGCTGCTGCTCCTGGTGACAGGCGCCCTGGTGGCCCTGGGCCTCCTCTACGCCAACAGCAGAGGTGAGTGAGGGCACCCCCTCCCCACAGGCCCACCCCCAACCTCCAAAGGGTCTGCATGGCTGCCCACCCTGGACAAGCCAGCCTTGTCAAATGGGGCAGGCAGCATCTGCCCTGGGCACAGGAGGCTGCAGGGCTGTGCGGCAGACCCGAGAGGAGGGGCACTGACCTGCTGGGGCGGGGGGCCCCTTCCAGAAGGCTCTGCCCAGGCACAGGCTGGTGCACAGCTGGTTCTGCAGGCTCTGAGCCCGCCGGCCTCTGGGGGACGCCTGAGATGCCGCAGACTGGGTCGCCCGCCCCAGCCGCGCAGCCCCCTCCCCTCCGGCTGGAAGCGCAGCTCCGCTGCACAGCGCACTGCAGTTGCCAGCCGGCCGGCAGCAGGAACCCACACTCCAGCGCCGGGGACCACAGCGCAGCGTCCCTCCCACCTGCCCGGGCTCACCTGCCACCACCATGGCTGCCACCCTGAGGAAGGGACCTGCTGGGAACCTCCTCTTCTGGCCCGCTGGAGGTCCGGGTCAGGGGGGCCTTGGCTTCCCAGACAGGCTCTGCTTGTTGCAAGATGGTGGGAGGGGCTGGGCTGGGGTCCCAGAGAGATGGAGGCACAGCCAGGGCTGCCCGGCAGGAACACCCTCCACTCGCAGCCCCTTCCCCATCCCCCACCCAGGCTGATGTGAGAGAGCGGGGACTGTCCACCTCAGGTGAGGGACACAGTGGGGGCTCATGTGCAGGCATGGTCAATCCAAGCTTCCCCCTGCAGCACAGCCTCAGGGGCACGTCCATAGGGTGCACACAAGCCAGCAGGTGCGGGGCGCCCTTCCCAAGGGTGGGTGGGCTCAAGACTCAGGAAAATCTGCAGGGGAAGTGCTCACGGGGCATTCTCAACAATAGGGTGTCACAGCCTTTGAATGTTCCCTCCCTGGCAGGAGCGGTCTGCACCACAGTGGGACCATGGTCCATCCCTGGGCAAGGCTGTTTCTGGGAACCAGAAGTGGGTACAGCCTATGAATGTAGTGGGCGTCCACCTGACCAGGTGCCTGACTGGACCCTGCCAGCCGCTGCGGTCTCTGGCCCCTCCAGTCTCCTGCCAGGGTAGATGAGCGCTGCCCACTCCCTGGGCACCGGGCAGAGGGAAGGGTCACTTGCTGCATGGAGAGCCCTGGGGAGCCCAGACCCTGGGGCTCACCAGGCTGAAAACATCTGGTTACAGGCTTCCAGGGGAGAGGGCTGACCCCTCACCCCAGCCGGGGGTGCAAGGGGGCCCTTCCTCTTCCAGGTAGTGCCGAGCAGCATGAGCCCACCCGACAGGAGGGACCCTCCCTGCCCAGCCTGCCTCCTCCTCGTGGTTCCCTAAACAAAAGTGGGGTCTCTGCCAGGGCTCCTCAGTCAAGACCCCTGTGCCCCCACCCCCAAAAATCGGACCCCATAGCCGATCTTGGCATCAGGTTCTGGTTGAGTTCATGGAGGGTTCATACGCAGTGTTATTATTTATTTCTAAGTATTTTCCCATTTCCACTATATATTTTTTTCACGGATTCATAAGTTGTTTAGAAATCTTTTTTTTTTTAATTTCTAGATGCATGGAGATTTTTTTAGTTATCTTTTTTACTGGTTTCTAACCTAATTGCACTCCTGTCAGAAACCATGGTTTATGACGTGCTGATTCTCTGATATTTGCCGAGCTTGCTGTGGGGCTAATACGTGGTCAGTTTTATAAGTGATCCGCGTGTGCTTGTGGGATACACCCATCACTAAATGTCAGATGAAGGGGAGATACAGATATACATACATCTGTTAGATCGATCAAATCCTCTCTATATTTGCTTTTTTTCATTTTCTTGATCTTTTACTTACTGAAAGCTCCTGCACTAGAGAACTATCCAATTTCATTGTAGTTATGTCAAGTATTCATTTGAAGGCTACGTTATTATGTGAATACAAATTTAGACTTTATCTTCCACTACATAAAATTGTGTAGTGACCCTTTCTATCTTAACAATGCCTTTTGCCTTAAATTCTGTTTTGTTTTAAATTGTTTTGTCTGATATGAATATAAGTACTCATCAGCATTTGCTTAGTCGGTTTTTGAATTGAAACTTTTTGCATCTTTAGCTTCAGATGTGTCTCTTGCAACAGTGTATTCCTGGGTTTCAGCCCATCTTTCCTGGAGGATTCAGTCTACTGATGCTCACTGTGATGGCTGAAATGGACGATTTTTCTGTTGTGTTCTTTTTGCTTCTTATGTCTCTTTTTTTCTCTTTTCTTGCCTTCTTTTGGATTGATCTCTTATTTCTCACTCTGTTTCCCTCAACTAGCTTGGAAGTTTTGTATGTCTATCCTTTTAATGGTTATCCTAGATTTTTGGTTTTAATATTTGTTACTTTAAAAGTTATAGATAAACCTTTTGCAGAAAATGAAATGTTTTTATAAAAATTACTGTGTGAAATGCAGTCTCACGCTGGCAGTCCTGTCCATCCTAGAATTCTGCTCCTCAGAAGCAGCCGCATCCCTTGTCTAGCGCAGTCAGCAAACTATGGCCCGTGGGCCAAATCTGGCCCTCTGCCTGTTTTTGTAAATAAAGTTTTATTGGAACACGGCTGTGGCCCCTCATTTATGTATTGTCCATGGCTGCTTTCATGCTACGAGAGCTAAGTTGAGTAGGTGAGACAGAGTCTGTATGTGGCTCACAAAGCCAATATACTTACTGTCTGGCCCTTTACAGAAAAATATTGCCAATCCCTGGACCGGAGTGTCTTCTCATGTTCTAAACCTGGTCTTTGAATCTTTCTCTAGCACTGTAGAGTGTTACATCATGGGGAGGGATTATAAGGTTGTGGTTAAACCCAGGCTCCTGGGTCTGACAGCCTGGCTGGGCATGCCAGCTCCCCCAGACCCTGGCCGTGTGACCTTGGAAGGTTTCCTTCATCCCTCTGTGCCTCAGTTTCCTCATCTGTAAAATGGAACATAACATAGGATGTACGTTAGAGGCTTACTTGAGGGTTCAATGATTTAATACATCAGTAACACTTAGGGAAATGTCTGTCATGTGTTCATGATCAGTTTTAGTAGCAAAATATCAGATTTTGTCATTGACCTGCTGTCGGTATTATTACTGATGTCTTGAATGGAAGGCAGGTTTAGCTCCTTAAGCACCCAGGCCCCCATCCTACCAATACAGGTATATCATTGCTTTTGGGTAAATCCCTATTCATCATTTCCAGTATTTCTACTGAGTGTTTTTCGCGGCTGAGCTACGAAGAATACTGGGGTTACATTTCCTTTCCTTGTCGTTATTTGGTTTCCTTATTAATAGCTGCCTTGAGGAGTTTTGCTTTTTCTGTCAAATTATTTTATTACAGGTCTGTCTTTGTCCATCTTAAATATCAACCTCGTGCTTGTGAAACATATTTAGTTAATCGTGGGGTGCCGTAACGTGCGCCTCGAGTACAGGTGCTCATAGTTCACAAAGGGCACTTACCGTTAATTACCCTACATGTACGTCCATCCAAAATGACTTTTCTGAATCTTAAATTCTTTCCCTATCCTTTCTGATCTTCTCTCCAAACAGTTCTTAAAAAGTGAGCAGCTTTTAATGTTGCGCAAGTAGTTACAATTCGCCGTCTCCTGCAAAAGGCGACACGCGGATGAAGTCCTCTGACAGCGTCTAAACTGAAACCCCGCCCAGCGCCTGCTGATACTGACCGTGCGGCCTGGGGGCCTGGTCCGCCTCAGCACAGCTTTCGCTCTTTTAATAAGAGGACATTAGGCTAAATCTCTGAGATCCTGTTCTCTCTGAAGGCCAACAAATCCATAAATCTGCAAAAGAGGGTCGTTTGTGCTCCACATCACAATTGCTAGGTCGTTATCAGGTGTGAGAAGGTGGCCTGAGCCTACACAGATGCGAGGTTTATCATGATCTTCCCAGAATCCCGTGAATTCTAGATCTAGGTGAGCCTTACCAGGCTCTGTCACCTTATTTTAAAACAAAACAAAAACCTTCCCAATGCTCTTCATTCTTTACGTAAATCCAAATTCCCATCTGGCATCATTTTGCTTTTCCCTGAAGAACTTGCTTTAACATTTATGGTAGTCCAAGTGTGCTGGAAATGAATTCTTCCAGCTTTTGTCTGAAAATGCCTTTATTTCTTCTGCATTATATATATATCCCATATATATATGGGTACAGGCTCTAGGCTTCTGGGTTGACTGGGTCTTTTTCCCCCATGGCTCCGCTGCCTTCCGGCTCCCCTAGCTTCTGATGAAAAGTCTGCTGTACCTACTATCTTTGCTCCTCTCCACTGTTTCTTCCTTCTTTGGTTGCCCTTGGATTTCTCTCTTTATCTTTGGCTTACAGCAGTTTGACTGTGGTGTGTCTAGGGGTGGGGTGTGTGTGCGCAAGTATTTTGCTATTTATGCTGTGCTCTTTGGAATTTGGGGTTTTGTTGTCTTTCACTAATTTTGGAAAATTCCCAGCCATTGTCTCTTCAAATTCTTCTGTCCCTTTATCTGTCTCTCTCTTTCTGGGACTCCACATATGTGTCTGTTGGATGGGTTGATGTTATCCCACAATGTTTGGATGGACTGTTCAGCTCTTCTTCACTCTTTTACTCTTGTGATACAGTTTGAAGAGTTTGACCCTAATTAGTCTTCAAGTTCACCGGTTCCTTCTTCAGCTGTATCCAACGTGCTGGCGAGACAGTCAGAGAAATCCTTCCCCCTAGTAATGAGCTATCTGTTCGTGCATGCTATCCACCTTTTCCATTAGATCCTTTAACATAATAATCACAGTTCTTTTGAAGTCCTTCTCTGATAGTGCCAATATCTGGGCTGTCTCTGTGTCTGGTTCCATTGATTACTCTATCTCATAGTGAGGGATTACGTTTTCTTGCTTTTGTGTGTGTGTGTCTCATACATTTTTACTGAATGCAGGGTCCTGAGAGCAACAGCAGAGACTGAAGTGAACAGTATTTGCATCCAGAAAGGGGCACACTTGTTCTTCTGTC